GGGTGTGGGTGTGGGTGTGGGTGTGGGTGTGGGTGTGGGTGTGGGTGTCGGTGTGGATGTGACCTTTAATTAGAATCCGTTCTCATACACCTACCCACACCAACACTCACATCTGTCAGCGTCGAATGAGATTTTTGTAACGATATTTTTCTATTTTCAAGCCAAGAAAATAGACAAAATCATAGCTCTCTTAGACGTTCAAGATCCCTTTTATAAAATGAGACTGTTTGTATGAATCTTTTTGTCGATTATTTTTAGATTAAGCTTTCAATTTAAATTTTCAAAATATTAGTTAAAATATGGCAACATTATTCTATGTGGTACGCAATTTATTCAATATAGCCCGGTTATATCCTCAGAAAGTGGCAGTAGTGCTTGACGATCAAGTATGGACATATAGCGAGTTGATTATGCAAGTAGAACGTGTTGTATATCAATTACATCACTTAGGCGTAGTTCAAGGCCAAATAATCTATCAATTTGTAGAACGAAGTTTTGAGATGATATGTGGCTTTTTTGGTATCATGTATATAGGTGGAGTCTATTGTCCACTAGATCCAACAATACCATCTGAACGTCTCAATATACTTCTCGAACAAATGCAAGGTCAATATGTTTTAGTACATGAGAAAACTCGTAATAAATTTCCAATAGCAGCCGTTCAGCATGTTATTGTGCTAGATAATATTCTTCTTCGATCGTTGGATATCGAAGACATGCGTGATCTTCTAATATCTAGGGAGTATGGTGCTGCATTCATCATTTTTACTTCAGGTACTACTGGACGACCAAAAGCAGTTGTTCATACACATAAAAGTTTTTCGGCTTTTATTGCTGCTTTGATTCAATGGAACGTCGGTATGTATACCGCTCGAGATCACGCCCTTCAAGTCGCTACAAGTTCATGGCTTACACATATTCTGGAAATCTCATCGCCATTAGTCGTTGGTGGTACTCTTGTGCTTCTGCGACAAGGCGGTCATTTAGATGTGGCCTATTTTTCTCAAACTCTAATGCATCAACAAATAACGACACTAATAACTGGTCCCGCAATAATTCGAGCTCTTACTAATTATATTGAAAATAGCCAGCAAACGAAAATATTCGATACTGTGCACCATCTGTGTACGGCGGGTAATGATAAATTTTTGATCTATTTTTGACACTTCAGTTTTTACTCGTTTTGCATAACGTAGGCGAAGCATTGAAGCCGCAGCAATGGACTCAATTTGTTAATTTGTTAACCTCTTCCAATGTTCAACTTTGCGTTATATATGGTACGTCTGAAAGTTGTGGAGCGCTTGGATGTCAATTGTTAAATATCAAAAATACGGATATTCCTATTGGGTATCCATTACCAAATATTCGATGTTTATTAATTGATGATGATGGCAAAATTATTAATACTACACATAATTTAAGTGAAATTGGTCAAATTTATATAGGAGGTAAGTAGTATCTATTCCGTTCATTTTCTTTTATAATATGTATTTTTTACAAGGACCATCTTTATTTAACTCCTATTTGAATGATCCCGAACTCACTACCAGCAGATGTACAACCATAAACAATCAAGTTTATGTAAAAACAGGTGATTTAGCTCGATATAATACACGAGGAGAGCTTGTCTATGCTGGACGTGCTGATTTTCAAATTAAAATACGTGGTCAACGAGTCGAAACAACTGAAATTGAAAATACAATTACGAATTCGTATCCTGGCAAGATTTCTGACTGTGTTGTTACTAAAATAGCCAAAAACGATGATCTGCTTGTTGCATATGTGGTCTCAAAAGAATCCAAGCTCGACGCTGAACAAATTCGAAATTACTGCAACAAATATCTTCATCAATACATGATACCATCCACCTTTATCTTCTTAAAACAGTTGCCTTTGAGTGCGAATGGAAAACTCGATCGACAGCGTCTTCCAGTACCTGATATCTCGGTTCTATCGACTAATATTATTGATCGTCAATATATCGAACCGAAAAATGAAATGGAAACGCTAGTTCATTCTATATGGTGTAAGATCCTTGGCTGTAATCGAATCTCGACAATAACAAACTTTTTTAGTATTGGTGGCCATTCTCTTCTGTTTATTCAAATTTATCAATATTATCAAACGTTATTTAATTTTGATAGTGAAACAATAAATACTCGGTCATTCTTTGAACATAATACCATAGCCGAACATGCGAAACTGCTAGAAAATATTAAGATGCATAATATACAAACAAAACAATGGCAGACATTACATATTAATCAATGTAAGGCATATAGAAGCACTTCTGCATCATGATACAATATTTTTCTCCTAATTTTTAGGTATTGCATCGTACGCTCAACAGCGCATATATCTTGATGAGAAAATGCGTTTTTCTGAAAAAGTTGCTATTTACAATGAATTAACTGCTCTACAAATTACGAAAGGTTCAATATCAATGACTCGCTTATTGCAAGCTCTTCGTTGTGTCATAAGCAAACATAAGATATTAAGAACTTCTCTAGTTTTCAATGATCACGATAGTATTTTAAGACAATCTATTACTGATAAACATCTGACATTTACTTTGGCTGCCGATCAAACATTCAGAAGTGAAACTCAACTTCACAACATTATTTCACAAACAAGTACTAATCCCAATTTGTTTGATCTATCAAGTGGTTGTGTTTTTTATTGTCAAGTTCTCAGACAACAGATGACAGTTGACGAAAATCATGATAAAGAAATGATTATAAATTCTGATGTTCTCATTATCGGCTTTCATCATGCTGCAATTGATCAATCAAGTGGCTTAATTTTTTTAAATGATCTATGTAATACTTACAATAGTAACATGACGTGGTTAGATAATGAAGAATCATTACAATATATTGATTATAGTGTTCATGAGCGTCTAATCAATATGACCCCATCACGTGAATTTTGGCGCTCTCAATTAAACGGATACAATCAAGAATGTCGATTGTTACTACCAGTTGATCGACATTGCTTATATAGTGATCAACGATCTGGATATGCTTTCATTGCTCATATCTCATTTGATAACGAGGTTTCGATATCATTTCTCAATTATGCATCGTCATATCAAGTCACACCATTTCAATTATACTTGGCTACATTCTATGCATTTCTTTTCAAATTAACATATCGACAAAATGATTTATGTATTTCTTGTGTCAATGCAAATCGATACAGAACCGAATTACAGAATATGGTTGGAATGTTCGTTTCAACATTGCCATATCGTATTCAAGTTGATTCTGACTGGTCATTCGATGAACTTGTTGAACATGTACGAGAAAAATGTTTATCAACTCTTGAACATTCTCATTATCCACTTCAACACATTCTTACTGACCCTCAACTTAAACAACCAAACGTACCATTTCTTGAAACAGTGTTCAATTTTATCACTCTCTCTGGAAACAGTCAATGGTCTATTGATACAGCAACGTTGCAAGAATTACCAATACAACAATCTTATGGTGCTGCTAAATTTGATTTTCTGTTGACTTGTCTTTATAATCCAACATCCGATGACAATAAATTATCATTTTGTCTAAACTGCTCGCGTGATCTATTTGATGAGCGAACGACCATAATCTTAGCTCAAAGATTAAAACATTCTGTCAATCAACTTTTTTCATCAAAATTAACTTCCAATGAAATTAATCCAAATATTACATCTATCTCGAAACTTAGCTTGATTTTACCGGCGGAAACTCAAGAAATTGAAGATGCTGTCTTTTGTCAACAGCAGAATATTGTCAATGAAGGTAAGTTTGTATAATTCTTTTCTCCTTTATTTCTTTTATAAAGAAACACATAATCTGTAAAAATAACAAGAAAATTTTGTTTTATGATCATAAATCATGCCATCACATTTGATATAATCAAGATTCATGTTAGTTGTAAAGCTTTTCAGTATGATACTGAACCTTTGATCAGCCCACACAATTAACACATCGTTTTATCTTATGATATATATAACATACCATCATGGTTTATTGTGTATTAGTTGTTTATCAAGTTTCTCTGCTTCCTCTTTTCTGTGAACCGCAAACTAGAAGCGTTTTTAAAATAAAAGCAAAAATTTGAATCGATCTCTCTTTGCTTCACAAACATAATCCATATTATAGCGAGCATAGCCTAAAATATGAAACTCAGTGAATATATCTAAAAATCGATTGAGAAAAATCATTAATTTATAAGCGAATTGAAAAGATTCGTAAAATTTACACGTTTTAATTTAGGCAGGCCTCCTGAATTGAAGACATAGATACTTATAATCAAGATAGATTTCAACTTATTTCTCAAGTATTTTTTCTATTAGTTACCATAATGATTTTGTATTTTACATCTTAGATTCAGACACTGCATTAATAGTTTTCTTCCTTGTCCTCCATAAATTATCATAGGAATTAATATGCTAAATATTAATATTTCTAATTCAATTCATACTTTAAAAATGATTTGAAGTTTTAATGATATTGTTTGTATAAATAATTTTCAATAGTCAGACCTTTTTGTGTTTATGATCTTCCAAATTTAGCTGCTCTTCTATGTTTTTCTGCAACTTCCTATAGGTCTTATGTATCATTCCAATTGACTCAGTAAAATTCTCTTATCACTGGCTATCAGGATCACCGAAAGATGTATTCATAACTTTAGTTATGTCATTAATATCTTATAATTAATTGCAGCACCAGCATCATATGCACAAACTCGTATTTGGTTTGATGAACGAGTTCGATTCGATCCAGACAAATCACAATTCGCAATTTACAATATGCCTTTTCTCTATCGTCTTGATGAAGGACATACTTTATCAATACAACAACTTCGACAGGCTCTTGAGCTAATTGTTAGAAAACATCAATCATTTCGTACATTACTTAACTTTGATGCAGAAAAGAATTCATTTATGCAACAAATTGTTGACAGCCATGGTGGTAATAATAGATTGTATGCATTCATCGAAAACACTTACGAAACACAAGAACAACTCAATGATATTATGCATGAAGAAAGATATAATCCTCAACTTTTCGATCTTACGCGAGGTCTTGTCTTTCGATGTCATATTATTTACTACAGACAAATCTCTTCAAATCATCTTCTTTCTCATAAAGATGTAATCATTTTCAATTTTCATCATGCTCTATTTGATTTTCCATCAATGAATATATTTCTTCATGATCTTAATCAAGCATATACAACAGGTCAATTATCATATGATGACAACACTACTCTACGTTATCTTGATTGTAAATATTATTAGTTCTTGTATTTTTCTCTTTTGCCTAATACATTCTTTTCTTTAATTACAAAATAGATGCTGTTATTGAACAACAAATGTCAATGACTGGTGCAAGTATGTTTTGGCTTGATGCTCTTCATCATTGTAAACTTGATCAGTCTTTATCATTACCATTCGATCGATTTCGTCTCTCAAATGAACATCGAACTGGTCGTGGAACATCTGTTTCATTTGATTTTAGTCACGATCTCTCACATGACTTTCTTATTCATGCGTCAGCAAATAATATATCACTTGAACATCTTACATTTGCTGTTTATTTCATCTTTCTATTCAAATTAACTAATGGACAAACAGATTTATGTCTGGCTATGAATATCAATAATAATCGATATAGATCTGAATTGAAATCAATCATTGGATTGTTTGAAAATGTCATTCCATTACGATGTCAATTAGAGTCACATTGGTATTTTCATCGATTACTCAAACATGTTCAAGAGATAACAACAAATAGTATGAAGTATTCATATTTTCCACTTCAACGAATTCTCGATCAACATCCATATATTTCCAAATATGCATTTTTGGATACATCTCTTGGATTTATACCACACAATAATAATAATATAGTGATGATTGGTGATTCTCAACTTGTTCCAGGATCTTTCTCATTCAACAGTAATGAAGACGACATACTAACTGCACCCGACTTCTCTCTTTCAATTCATCATGATATAACCATGAATCAAGTGTCATGCACAATCAACGCATCACTTGACTTATTCAATAGAGAGACAGTGGAAAAGACTTCACAACGATTTCATTCTATCTTACATCAATTATCTGCATCTATTATTGATAATCAAATGAACAAACCAATCTATGAATTATCATTGATATTTTCAAATGAACGGTATCTAATACAATCATTGAATAATACACAAATAACATTTCCATCTCCTGTCACTTGTATTCATCATAAATTTGTATATCAAGTAATGAAGCATCCACAAAAACTAGCAGTTGAACTTGATGAACAATCTCTAACATATTGTGAACTTCTACATTATGTCCAGATGTTAGCTGTTCATCTGGTAGATCAATATGGTATCATTTCAAGTGAGGTTATCTCGCAATGTGTGGAACGGAGTCTATCTATGGTAAGTTAACCGTTGAAATAAATACTTACCTTATTTAAAATATTGATATTGATTAGATCATTGGTATCATGGCAATTGAGATGGCTGGTGGTGTATATTTTCCACTGTCATTTCGAGATCCAGCGAAACGTTTACATATGCTTTTGCTACAAACACAAAGTCGACTTGTTCTCTGCCATTATTTGACAAGAAATAAATTTAGCGACATTATCACTGTATTAAACATTGATTCTATAATGGTAAATAATAATTTATTTCAACATATTAATATTGATCAATTATCGTCTGTTCATGTGAATATCGATAGTATTGCCTACATTATATTTACGAGTGGTTCGACAGGAATGCCAAAAGGGGTAAGCATTAAATTCGCTATAAAATTAACACTCAATAAAGGAAATAAATGAGCTATATGAGAAAAGTTTAACTTTATATTGTTTCCATTGGTTTCTTAAGGAAATCCAGTCGTTTTAAAATTCTGTTGATATATTATTTACCAATGAAGGAGATTGTATATTTAGAGGATATCATAATCTTTTTATTTATAGGTTCAAGTTCGACATAGAAATTTCATTCAATGTATCTATTCTTTGATGCGCATTGATTCATTTACTAATAATGATACAGTGATTCAAATGGCTAGATGTTCATTTGATAATCATGTTCAAGAAATTATCGGTTCACTAATAATCGGAGCTACAATAATCATGCTTCATCCAAGAGGAACTGTTGAATTGAACTATCTTGCTGAAATCATAAAAAACAAACAAGTTACTTATATGCACACTGTATCAAGTTTACTTCACAACTTTTTCACTTTTCTTAAACAGAATCATTATTTACATGTTGTAAAATATCTCAGATCACTTTGTACTATTGGTAAGTAACCATCATACAAGCTATATAATCTTATATTATATTCTCTCACTTTTTAGGTGAGCCATGTTCTGTGAAGTTAGTCAACCTAATCCTCACAGATCCTACACAGTATTTTACTTTTTGGAATTGGTATGGTTTAACAGAAACTACTGTTGTTTGCACTTTTTATCCGATAAACATTACAGTCAATACAGATAGTATTCCAATAGGATGTCCATTGCCCAATTATCGACATTTGCTTTTGGATAATTTCTTACAATCTGCCATCATTAATCAGGAAGGTGAATTATTTATAGGCGGTGTAGGTGTCTTTGCTTGTTATCTTGGCTGTGATGATTTGACACAGAGAGCACTCATTGAAATCGATGGCGAGATATTTTATCGAACAGGTGATCTTGTTCGAATGGGTCATAATGGACTATTTTATTGTGTCGGTCGAAAAGATTTTCAAATTAAATTACATGGACAACGAATTGAACTTGGTGAAATCGAACGATGTTTACTTAATATCACATCCATATCTGCTTGTGTTGTCATCAAATGGAATGATGATTATTTAGTTGCATATGTTCAGTCTTCTCATATCAGTGAGGAAGAACTACGTGAACATTGTCAATCTTATCTACCACCACATATGATTCCATCTTTCTTTATTATTCTTGATAAGCTACCTTTAAATGCTAATGGAAAGGTAGATAGAAAATCCTTGCCAATATCAAAAGTTTTGTTTCATTCGCCTGATACGATCCATCATCAACATATAGAACCAAGCAATGAACTTGAAATCTATATTCATTCATTGTGGTGTCAGATTCTCTGTCACAACAGAATTTCTACCAATACACATTTTTTTGATATCGGTGGTCATTCTCTCTTACTTATTCAATTATATCATAATTACAAGATGACACTCAACATTGATACGACTAAGACCAATATTTCTCAACTCTTGCAACATACCACTATTGCTGATCATGCTCGTCTTATTCATCAGTCAATAGAGAATCCAGAAATATATCAAAAACTTTTGTCTACTGTACATAATATGCAAGGTACATCGTATTGCCTAATCAGTTTTGTATACTCATTACTCTTTACTTTTTCTTTGTGTTGACAGAAACATCTACTCAAAACCATGCTCATTCGATCTCCCAAGAGAATATCACAGTTGTAGCAGACGAGCTATTAAGATACGAACCATTTCCTGTTACAGATATTCAACAAGCATACCTAATTGGACGTGAAGGTGCCATTGAACTTGGTCATGTTTCTGCTTTTGTCTATAGGGAATATAACTTCTCATCAACATTCGACGTCGAAGGCCTTGAACGAGCATTGAATTCTTTAATTCAAAGACATGAAGCACTGCGTCTTGTCTTTCCGTCTCATACTGAACAGAAAATTCTCAAAACAGTTCCTTATTATACTATAACTATACTTAACTTAGATGATGTTCAGTCTTCGAAAAATCGTCTCATAGAACGACGAGAACAACTATCACATCAGATTCGACCAGCTGATCAGTGGCCATTATTTGATTTTCAAATAACTCGGTTCAAGACGGATGAAGGTTATAAAATATGTTTGCATTTTGGTTTAGATATACTCATCTTGGATTTTTGGAGTATAACGTTAGTTTTACATGAATTAAATCAACTGTATTATAACTTAAATAATACCTTGGCAGAACTAAAATTATCTTATCGAGATTATATTCTGGCAGCACAACAATTAAAACACGAGACCACTCATAGCAATGATAGACAATATTGGATAAATCGTATAACATCACTTCCATTGGGTCCAAATTTACCATTACAGTGTTTGCCAAACGAAATACATATACAACGTCATTGTAATGTAGCTAAAGTATTAGATCTGTCATTGTGGCAAAAATTAAGAAAACGTATTACCGATCACAGGTTGACACCAGCCGGTTTCTTAGCGTCAATCTATGCCTTAGTATTGGGTAAATGGAGTGAAAATAAACATTTCGCTTT